CTGGAGGAAGTGTCTGGAGAGAGGGAGGTCTGGGCATCTTTGCTTAGACTGCTGCCCCCGCAACCCGGTCCCGGATAAGCGGAGGAAAATGGATGGATGGATGGATGGATGTATTCCATCCATCTTTTCTCTTCCCTGATCTCTTTGCATTATTGCCTGGTTTGCTTCTCGTTCCTAGAGTAAAACAATCCCAACAGAGTTTGAGGTTGAACTCTTCAGTGCTAACCAGCCCCGTGCCTTGTCCAGGCCTAACCAAACCAAAAGCACCAAAACTTCCTCTTTCCTTTGTTTCTCATTTTCTGCCCTGAACACAGTTTCTGAAGGTTTTAAAATGGGTCCAAACACAGAATTTTAAGATGCCACAACACAAAGTAAAACAAAAAGTCAACAGATGACATTATAATCCTTCAGAAGTTTATGAACTCAAACCCTGTTTTTGATATTTGTCACTGACATTTTATATTCATCATATTTAATTCTGTAATTAAAACTTTGTTAGTGGCAGAGCCTGTCATTTCCACACTCAGGTTGATATGTGACTCAGTTTAGCTTCACGTTTGTCAAAACGTTGGTGGCTTTGAAAACCTTTTAAACTTTTCTCTCAGTTTCACAAACAAAAGATTTCAAAAGTGCACTGAACTTGTATTTAGCTGTGGGCTGCTTTGAGGGCGTATGTGCCGGGAAGTGAAACGCAGTGTTGTGTCACCAGTAACATACCTGGCAGTGCGTTAAATACTGTGATGACTTCAGTCAGATTCATACCAGAGCTTTGACAAACAGCCAGGAGCAGAAGCAACACTCCGTGACGGGGTTTATCTCATATTTCACTTCTTCATGAGAGCCATTAACTTCAGTGTCATTTTCAATCACCCTGTAGGCATTATAGCCTCATATAAAAGACCAATAAAATATACTGTGATGAGTTCAGAAAGGGCTCAAATGATTAACCACAAATTTTTAATGAAAGTTACAAAATAAATGGAAAATTTAGGAAACTGTTAATGTTTAGATGTAGGTGTATTACATCCAGATTAACGCCAATAAAACAATGAAATGGTGAAGGTATTCTAAGGTTCGTTCATGGTGGAGGTTGGCGTCTGATAACATTAAAGCAAAAACCACAGCTATCACTGTTTGTCTTTCACAGTTCAGAGAGGCTGCAGCTTATAAGGAACATCGAGCCAGTGAGGTTTGTCACTTGTTGCATAGGAAACACATTTTAGCTGCATGTCGCAGCACAGGGAGCCAGGTCCTCTGCTAGCAGCTGTGCAGCCAAAACAAAAAAAAGGAAGTCAGGGCTTCGTGTGTTCCAGTTCTGTGAAGAGGTGCCATTACGTCATGTCCTGTTTTTCCTATAGTTTAATAAGGGACTGAAACTTGGCTGTGGGTGGAGTTAAGGTAGGAACTGGGCATTCTTGGAAGTTGTGTTTGTGACTGTAGTTGGCTCCCAGTTCCCTTATTTTACTGTTGCTTGGTTCTCGATCCTCGCTCAAGTTGCTCTGTCCCGCTATGATGAAGGACATCCCAAAGGTTGTGTTTCTGCTTTAAGCAGTGAGGATACATAAGTGCATCCTCTGTGGAAGTCTGTTATGGACTGATGCACCTCTTTATTGGAAATCTGTGACTGGACGCTTCACATGAAGGCTCACAGGAAAGAATGGCTCACGTCAGTTAAAATGTTAAAAGGTGGGTTGGACTAAGATGTGATTAGGGGAAGTAGGATTCACCTTGTGATGTAGGAGTCGGGCTAAATGGGAGCTTGGGTTATGTGACTAATGGCCCCTCGACCCTCTGAGAGCCACTAGATGATACTTCATGGTGTCTTGTTTTTTGTTTTCACCCATAATTTTTGGCAAAAACATGTCTGAGTGTTTCTGTGGATGTGACAATCTGATAATGCACCTTTCTTTACATGTACAGAAGCTGTTGATGACCGTGAGGCTTTTTGTTCAGCTGTACACACAGGTATCTCTGCACATACCTACTGGATGTGGATACCTTCATAGACGTAAGCAGTGTGTGTCTCTATTCATTTCTTCCCCAGCAGCCTTAACTCACAAGGTCTCTGTCTTTTGTGGCTTTATGAAGGACTACACATTTCTTTATATTAACGTGCGCATTCTGTCCTGCTTTCTGTCAGTTTTCCATCCTGCTCTCTTCTTCTCGCTGTGTGAGGAGACTGGTGCCAACAAACACGCCTGAGGCAACTTCTAAGCACTTCAGTGTGGACCAAGGGTCAGAATGAACATGAATGACTTTGAGTTGGAGGAGTGTGTGTTGTGTTATGCCCCTCATGGAGCGTGCGTTTTTGTGTACAAGCAGTCGGGTGTTCTACTACCGCATTGTGTTATGCCCCTCATGGAGCGTGTGTCTTTGTATACAAGCAGTCGGGTGTTCTACTACCGCTGTAAATGTTTTCTGCTGCAAGGTCAGTGGAGCGCTACCACTCATCTCATCTCACTCTTTCTCAGAGCACTGCAGGAGATGCTGTTGGTGAGAAGAGGGTGTCAGCTGGAGCAGCTGCAGCTGCTGAGCAGGCATCACTGCCAGGGTCAGGGATACAGGGCAGCAAATACATAATGGGACAAATTTATATCTACATGCACACCCATGCATGTAAGCTACAGTAACACTGCTTGCTCATGTGAATACAAATTGCCACGCACATACACACAGCATGCCACCAGCACTTAGAGAAGTGCAGTGAGGAACAGTGAAGTTCCAGTGTACGGATTCCACTCTGCTAAATGCATCATGATCCGGCTGTGGGGTTACACTGCGAGTCTATATTTAGACCATCCTAAACAACCATAAGCGCAGTGCAGTGCAGTCATGTGTCAGTATACAAACCACTTGTGTAGCACTACACAAAATGAGATGGAAGAACAAAACACAAATGCCTAATTACAAGCGGCAGCATAAGTAAAAATGATTATTATTTAAAGCAGGTGTGAGTGTAGCAGCTTCTCCCTTTCAGACTCAAGGTCAAATACCCCCTGAAGAAGAAACAAATTTGTTGACAATGTAGGCAAATGCCCTCGGACGCTTGCCTTTGCCCAGTGAATTTAACCAATCTTCAATCTGTGACTTTAACAACCCCTCCTCTCCTTGCTGCCACTTTTCCTCACCTCCCAATTTTCTTCCCTCTCACATCGCAGATGTGGGCCAGAATACAAATTGTGTTTTCCTTTCTTTATTTGGGTAGCCTATAATACTAGAGGGCCAGAGGAGAATGGGAGATGGGAGTGAATGTGTCCCATCAAAAGAGAAAAGAGGCAACAGCTGAGGGTTAAGCTGCTCTACAGACAAAAAGACAAGAAGACAAAGAGAGAATAGAAATAGACACATGGAGAGGGAGAGCATACTGGAGAAGAATGAAGCAGAAAGAGCAGAAAGGTAGAAAAGGCAGATACCAAAGTTAAGATGCAGCTAAAGGAGGGTTCACCTGAGATGTGATCCACTCGATCTACAACCGGAGTTCATTATTTAGCTCCAAGCAGCAGTAATGCTCCGCGGTGTCCGACAGCTGCAGTGCTGCAGAGTGAAGTGCTGATTGTTACTGGCATCAATAGCACGAGAGGCCATTTCACATTAGACAGTTATTAGACTCAGTGTTCAGATAAAAATATTATTCATCAGTGAAGTCTGACTTTTCCCTGTAAGATAACATGATGGATCGGGCGCCGGGTGATTCCCTGAGCCCGAGGTCACAGGGGACATCAGACATGGCTCCTGCTTTAAAATAAAACTTAGAAATGCCTCAAAATATCTCTTTTCCCTTTTAAAGTATTCAGACCAGACGTGACAGCTCTAGATCTCACTGCTAGCATCAGTATTCATCATGACCTAAAAACGTGAAGAAGCAAAAATGTTATTCAAATGCTATTTTAAAGGTGGAGCACATAAGATCTAGAAGGATTTATTAGCAGATTTGGGTTATAGTGTAGTCACCAGAAAATGAGAATCACTGCATTTTCTTTAGCTTAGGATGAGTCTTTTATATCTACATACGTAGAGCGGGTCCCCTGTCACGGAGGCAGCCATGTTGAGCTTTGATTTGGAGAGGCTTGGATGGTGAAGAAGTAATGTTAGAAACAAGAGGATGCATTGTTGTGAGGTTAAGAACTATAATTTGGAGAAATAGAGGCTCATGGTTACACTTTAAAACAAGAAAAAGGATAGGTAACGGCACAAGATGAGGATAAGCACTGGTGTGGTCTTTCCCACATGGAAATCCTTAATGAGGGATAAATGTTTCCAGAAAGATGCTGATGTTGCCTGTAATCTGCTGGACAACAAGTACAGATAACCTAAATGCAAGTCTTTGTTTGCTGTTTTTAGTTAGAACAGGGCCAGTCCTGGCCAACCCACTGGGGTCAAGGCAGCTGCACTTGCTTTCTGAGTGCGCATTTTTTCTACATTTACGGTAATTGCTGTGAAATGGCTGTTTGTAATCTGCAACCTCTCCGATAGATGTCACTAAATCTCACACACTGCACCTTTAATTTGAAATAAGGTTAATCTAGTTATTCATTTAACCATTTTGGAGTCACATCTTCATCTCTGACTACAGGCTGAAACATTTAGCTCTCAGGTACTTTTGACATGCTGCATGTCCACATGCACTCCTGTGATTCATTAAACTGGATTTAGTAGAGGTCAACATATATAACAGTCCAAAATACCAACACCTGTTTCAGAGTTCATCTGTTGACTGCAGTATTTTTCACCTCTTAACATACAACCATAAATCATGCTTTACTGTACAACCACTTTTTCCAAGATTCAAACACGTTATAAGGAAACTTTTTTAAAGGTGAACTTCACTGATTTAGTATTGCACTAACATAAAGATAGGAGACTACTGAAGGACAGATTATAAAAAAGAAGAGTTAAAGCACTGATGCAGCAAAGGCCAGAATATTCAGAATTTTATTCCCTAGCATTAGTCAAAGCCCCACAGTGCAGCTCAATAGTGTCTTCCCTGACTGCTTCTTTCAAATCCCACACCTGCAGTTTGTAACCAAAGCTTTCTGTTAAAAACCTTAAACCTCTGATGGTACCACCAGGGTTATTTTGAGCAGAAGACATCATACGGCGTTTACAGGCTGAGAGCCTGCGATGAACAAACTGGTCATGAAGGAGCTTCTACCAGTGTGTAGTTGCACCGATGGATGCAAACCTCACTTCAGCTGATCCCCCAGGCATTTTTTTGCGTGTACAGTCATCTACCTGAAGTTCCTTTGATCAGTACACCAGACGAGTCTGTTCTTGCTTGACAAGGACAAGACCTGTGACAAACCAACCACGGCACTGATGAAGGAAGCCGCTACTCCTAACTAGGCAAGGTTGTCCTGCTCCAAGATGATATGGAATGAGTCGAATCTCCAACAACCCTCCAACTCCAACAACAGGCATGCCTACCTGCCTCTCCTCCCACGGGATCTCTTGTTTTGTTGTGGGTTAAGGCTGTTAGTGTTTCACTGAAGCTGGCCTGCTACACGAGACTGCAGGGAAACAAAGCAGGACAATGACAGAGGATGGGGGGCTTCAGGAGGCCAGGGGTATTGTGTTCGGTACACTTCACTTTTTGTGTGTAGACCTGCTGCCCCAAAGATGTGTGTGCCTGTATGGCTGTCTTTGACCCCATTCACTCAGACCATTGTTGTGCTGTGTTGCCCTACAGTAAATGCCACACCAGCTTCACCAGTCACACACAAACACGTCATGGCACGAGCAATGTTTGTCTCATTTGATTTAATGTTTTCACCTAAAAACAGCCCAACCAAACTGGGCTCAATCGCTTTAGAGTGGCTGAAGAGAAATGAATAAGTGTCTCAAAGTGCCGTCTAGAAACCACTGACTTTACTTTGGTGAAAAAAAACTAGATTTTACGACAGCTGCAACTTGGCAATCGAATTTTAGGTTGGGGTCCATCTTAACCCCCAGGTTTGAAACATTTTTCTTGTTATACTGAGCTAAAAAGCCCAGATCAATGGAGGGAGACCCAGCAGTATCACCGAACACCATCACCTCCGTATTCTCTTCATTCAGCTTAAAAAAATTAAGTGCAAGCCAAGATTTAATGTCCTCAAAACATTTAAGCAGTGGACTAACAACAATTTGTCTTTTTAACCGGTAAATAAAGCTGGCTATCATCTGCATAGCAATAAAAGGAGATGCCGTGTTTCCTAAGTATGGAGCCAAGTGGGAGGAGGTAAAAAGAAGGAGTCCAAGAACCGAGCCTTGTGGAACTCCATACAAAAGGGGCTCAGAAGAAGACACAGCATCACCAAGTTTCACACAAAAGGTTCTATCCTTAAGGTAAGACCGAAACCATTCTAACGCTATACCTTGAACACCCACCCAGTGTTATAATGGAGAAATAAGTATATTGTGATCTACCATATCAAAAGCTGTGGTTAAGTCAAGGAGCGCTAGGATGACACAGTTCCTTGAGTAAGTGGCAAGAAAAATATCATTTGACTTTCACCAAAACAGATTCAGTATTGTGCAGGGTTTTAAACCCTGATTGACAAATCTCAAGAATATTATGGTCTACCAAAAAAGACAGTAACTGAGTGTAAACTGTCTTCTCCAGAACTTTGGAAAGGAATGGTAGATTAGAGATAGGCCTAGAATTAGCAAGCACTGTGGGATCCAAACCAGGTTTCTTAATCAATGGCTGCATGACTGCGTGTTTGAAATTCCTTGGGACCAGCCCAGAGGATAAACTACAATTAATAATAGAAAGGGCAAATGGCCCCACAACCGGAAAGACCTCGTTTATGTCGTATGAGAGGGAGGGGTCAAACTTGTTGTTCCTAGTACATGCTCAGACTAAAAGAGCCATCTGCAACAACTAGTTCCATATAATTCCATGAGTGACATTTTAAGTGCAGAAAAGATTTTCTGGTTTGAGTAAAACTTGTTTAGCTGAGGTAGAGTGGATAAATGAGATGTCATTTATGTCTGTATTGTTTTTCTGGTTTCAGAACCTTTATCTGC